CAAGATTGAACCCAATTATTACCATTTTTTATTTATAAGCTCTAAATCGATTAAACATCAAAATTGTTGATTTTCGAAAATTAACTCAATCATAACTCAAAAACTAAAAGCGATGGAGAAAAACTTTTTATACATAAAACCTTAGTGATGGGCCATAAAGACTAGATCCATAAAAAGATTGAACCCAATTTATGGTTATCATAGCATTATTAAACATTTGTCACAAATTAACACAAAAACAGAGAATAGCCTAGTTTAATCTATTTGCAATAATAGATTAATAACAGTATTTTTTTAATTGCTATTTTTTCGAAGACAACTACATGAAAAATACTCAAAATTTACGTAGAATCTATAAATGCCACATAAAAATGGGGTTCCTATTTTAAAATGTCAACTTAGGCATCGTATCTCAATTTTGGGACACCTGTATATCTCAATTTTATTTAAAAAAATGCGCGTTAAAAAATATAAGATACATGTCCAAGCCTTTTTTTTGGAAGAATATCCCCCGAATTTTTATCAAATTGATTCCATACTTTATGTACAGGAGTTATAAAGAGTTAAGTATTTTAGAAGTTGAGTATTCAGTATTTGAGTTGTGTTTATAACTCAAAAACCGTGATGACTAGAAAAATTCTACGTGCACCATTGGATTCCACGTGAAAAAATCTATTAGAACCCGTTTTTACTTTCTTACTAAATTTCCGGGTAGTCGAGATACAAGAGGTGTCTGAAAATCGTAAATTTCAAACACTCCCTGTAAATCAAAAACGAAGAGGGCTATAAAAATTTGGTTTGCGCCATTGCAAGTTTCACAAAAAAGTAGATTCGCGAAACTTTCTATCTTTCATAATAACTGAGATACCTTGCAAACCTATCAAAATTTGGACACCCTGTACAATAGACATTGTACATTGTAAGTTACTATCAGCTACAGAACATTAGGTGTAAAAGAAGAAAAAATAAAGAAAAAAAATTGAAAATAATTGAATTAAACTTAATAGTTTGATCGCGTTTTTCTTTTAAAAGTAATTTAATACAACAGTTAATTTACACCATTATTAAAAAAGAACCACTGACTAAAGCATAGCAGTGATCACTGCTCGAAAAATAGCAAATCAAGAGGGACACAGGGTTAATAGTACAAAATACTATTAACCCAGCAACTATGCGTCAAAAGTTGTAATACATTTTCCGAAGGTTCTAAAACGTTAAAAAATAACGAAAACAATTTTTTTTTCAAAAATTATAAGCGATCGTGAAAATCTTTTCAAGTAAAAGTTATGTGAAATTATGCTGTCTACCCAACTGAAGAAAAAAAAATTATAGATTTTAAAAAATAGCGAAGTTAGTACTCACATCCGGTATAATCGGAAGTACAAAGACGATGATTTCATGTCCTAATAATCCGTTTTAACAGCCTAATAAAAATAAATGGGGGCCTAATAAAATAAAATAAAAAAATATGGGGGTGAGCCACTTCTGAGGGACATCTGGTATACCTATAAAATCTCTTGTTACAGTTTCGTCTAGTTTTCTTCCCTTCGCTTGTAATTCATCATCACATTCATTACTAACAGAACTGTCGCTGTTATCACTTTCGATTACTAATTAAAGTATCCTCTTTTTAATGCAAAAAGCCGTTTTGAAAAATCACTTTCAGTTCTTGAGAAATAAATTTTTGAAATAATCGATAATTTTTTCGAATTTTGCAATTTTCGCCGATTAAGTTTTCAAAATTCGTATAAAATCCAGTTCTTGGAATATGAGTATGAAAATTTCCCAAAGTGTTAATAAAAGTGTCCTGTTTCCAATGAACCAACACGTTTTGAAAAATAACTTTTAGTTTTTGAGAAAACAATATTTGAAGTTTTGATCGTTGTATAAGGTTGAGGTTAGGAAACACATTCAAATTTACATTCAAATTTTGATATATCATTAATGGACTGTAAAATAAAATAGAATGATGTATTGAAACAGATGTAAATCGAAAGTTTTAACAATTATTGTATTACCTACACTTAAAAAGAGAATAGGGATATAGCAGATGTGTTAAGTGAAACCAGTGAAACATATAATGTCGGGTGGAACATAATCATGTTCCACAGGTGGGTGTGTCGTTTTGTCACATTCACACATTCCATACCAAAAGTAAAAAGTTAATTTAACCTTATACTGATGAACCCTAGAATTCCTATGCTATATTCAATCATAAAATTACATAAACAAAACCATCCTATTCGTCCCATATTCACATCTGTCAACTCAAGTACTCAGAAAATCGCCAGATTCATCAATCTCTTTATTAGCAGACAGTTACAATATAAACCTGCTAA